GCCCACCGGGCATGTGATTAATTTTTTAGAGATCAGTTTTAGTCCGTGCGTGATGTGGTAGACATGATGATTGCCTTTACTTCCCAGGACATTACCTGGTACCCATTTTAAGCTGGGAGCCATGATCAGATTCTAGATGAGGTTTTCAGCCTTTGAACCAGGCAGGCTAACCTGGTGAACAAATGCATGATAAGGCCGGATATATTGGCCAAAAGGCAAAGATATTGAAGCTATGCTGTAAACAGTACAACATAGTGACATCACTTGGACAAACGATAAGAAGAAGAAGAAAACCACTTGAAGCTCAGGCTAGCGCCTCCTCGCAGTGCTACTTACTACAGCTCCTGCCTTGCTGTTGTAGTTTGCTAATATGATATTTTCTGATGTAATGGACCTCGATGTGCATGCAGTAGTAGTTCCTAGTTCTTCATGTTCATTATTCTGTTTGTCCTGCTGCCTTGTTCAGTGCAAGATTTGTTGCTTCATTGTTTTGCCTGGTGTACCTTGTGCTGATTGATTTCATTTCTAATTTTGTGTGTGGCCCTGCAGCTTGCAAGTTAGTGAATGCGTTTAACACTTTTGTGATCCTTGAGTACTAGAGTTTAATTTCTATGATGGATGGATGGTTTAAAAAAAAATACTTGGATTGTGGCACGAGAGTAAAACTTGGAAGAGATTGGGGCCTGTCCACGTAATAATCCTAAAGACAGCAGTGATACTCTCAAGGTTCCCATAAAAATTAAATATTATGTGCCATACACAAATTAGGGTAGTCTGTACTGGGTGGCCCACAGGTTTCAGTACACAGGAAAAACACCATTGTTTTGAAAACATATTTCAATACGTGCCCTCCACTGAAGCACACGTATAAGCACAGCTGGAGTTATGTTTGTAACGGCATTGAAGAGATGTTTTTATCCTATGTATGGAAACTGTATGGCCTATCCTAATTTAATTTTTAGACGGCATACGATGTTTAATTTGTATTTTTGTGAGGAGCTGACAGAGTAGATAAAACATATGGTTAGCTCTTTCATTACCAGAAGGCTTTGTACAAAATCATTATTGTTTTCATTAAATTTTACTGCAGACATTCTAACTACTTGGTGTAGGAACGAAAAATAAATGAAAGATACCTCTGTGGTTGCCAGATTTATTTAGTATACACTGACCAAAACTTTAATATAACAAGAAGACACTAGATGTGACGTATGAGACATGTGGGGAATAGTCTGTACCATATCATGCATTGTCTGTGACTCAGAGAAAGTGTTTCTAGATCTTGTAGCATTTTGGGATACTTCTTCATCTTCTTCGTCTTCACCGGATGTAAACTGCGGCAGAAAGTTCTAGTTGTTTGTCCACTTCTGGACTCGACCCTTCTTCTAGAATCTGAGTTTTATATGCATGTCAGTTTTACAGATTTGACTCATCTGTATGCAGACTGTCAGTTCCCTGCCTCTCAGTCTTACAGCATGTTTTTTGAGCAGGCAGTGGGTCTATTCTTGTCCCCCCCCCCCCCCCCCCCCCCCCCCCCATAGTGGAACCTCGGAACCCCCATGGGAATGCTGTGTTTACTATGCCTGTCTCATATTTGATAGATCAGTCAGAATTTATTTGTTAATGCCAGTATTATGCCAGCCGCCTTTAATAGCCGCCAGCATTTGTGGCTTAAGCTGGGGTGCTGGGTTCAATTCTAGCTGTAGGTGATTTGGCAGCAGACCGCTTTGAGTTGGTTTCGACAGTGGTACCAACAGGTCGTGGATTCAGATCCTGACGGATCTAGACATTTTCAAAAATAACCTTGGATCCCAGGTCTATCCAGTCTTAAATGGTTGAGTTGAGTTGAGTCAAGAATTGACATCACAGCACTTGGGGCATTCCCATGTGTGCTCCGTCCTCATCTTCAGCAGCCAGCGCAGAATTTCAATACTGATGGTACCAGTCACAATCTGGTTATATGTCCGTCTTGTCTTTCCTCTGAGTGTAGTGAGCCGGCCAGACCCTCTGGTTACACCCAGGTGCCTCAGTCTCTCCAGGCCATAATAATCTTGTTTCTCTGCTGATTTCGTTGTTTGTTCCCAAAGGGCCTTGACCACATCTGCCGTGTCATGTATCAGTTCACCACCCAGTGGTGCAGATCCAGCCTGTCTGCCTGTTCATTACCCACTACGCTGCATGGCCTGAAGAAAAAATCCAATGTCCTTCCCAGTGAAGCTTGCCACTCTGCTCGAAGCATCCGTGTCTTCACCTTTCTCAGCATGCTTTCAGAGTCTGTTACAATTACGACATGTGTATGCATCTTGTTCTCTAGCCACCAGAGAGCTGCAGTTACCGTCTCCACCTTCATTCTCATGCTAGATGTCAAATGGGTACCAAGTAAAGTCCTCAGAAGTAAAGGTGGTCAGCATGACGTAGAACATATCATCACAGAGTACTGATAGGTCTAGCCCTATATACCCAACATGCCTGAAGGAATGGGAAAGGGTCCTTTACTTTTACTTGCTTTAATAGAAAATTGCCGATTCCCTGGCATACCTCATCCATCTTGTGATAGTGGTGGTGTTAATGGCAATTGTTTCGTCTAGGATTGCTGTCCTTAGGATTAACACCTCAAGGATGAGAATCCAACTGAAGCAAATCCCAGAACCCCCATTCAACTGTACAACACATTTATATGAGGACATCCCTACAGCTAGAAACGAACCTGCAGTCCACTGTGTGTGTGTGTGTGTGTGGGGGGGGGGGGGGAATGATGACTTTCCATTACATGAAACAACATATCTCTAACATTCTTCTCTCAGTCCTGTAGCATTCTTCTGTGCTTGTCTCCCCTTCTTGTTCTAAAAAAAAAAGTAAGTAAAGATCCCTTTACACGTCCTTAGGCGCATCGGGCATATGGGAAGAGCACCCATATTTTACAGACCAATCGGCACTCGGTGGGTAATGTGGTCAGCATTACGCCGGCCGTCTTTACTTTCCCAGGACAGCCTGTCCTGGTACCCATTTGAGCCTGGGTCGACCTGCGAGGTCCCATACCACGATAAAAATCCATGCAACCCGCAGTGGGTTTCCTTTGCGGTACATTGGATTACGAGTCAGACTCGCAACGCCTTAGCCACGGACGCCTCACCTTCTTGTTCTACTCTGATACAGTTCTTCGTATCTCCCCCTCTTGTTCTGCTTCTGTCTGTCTGTCTGTCTTTCTATCCATCCATCCATGTATCTATCAGTCTGTCTGTTGATCAATTTGTCTATCTTTGTGTTGTCTGTCTATCAATCTTTCTGTCTGTCTATCAATCTGGTTGTCTGTCAGACTGATCTTTTGCCTTTTCATATCGCTGTTGACACATAAAGCATTCACAGATGATCTCCATTGCTGCAGATCCTCATCTGCATGGTGGCACCTTGTGTCACCAGGTGTTTATCGCTTGTTGATGACCTGGTGGGGTACAACTTACCTACCTACCTTTCTTTCTCGTTCCATTCTTGTAGGATTCTTTTAAATTGTAACTTCTCTTGTGAAACAATTCTAATTTCTCTTGTATATATATATCATTCTCTAAAGTTCTTGTTTCTCTTATATATTATTGTCTGATGTTTTGCTGAGATAACATCCACTGATTCTTGTTACACTCGAGAACTTGGTGTCAACTGGCAACAAACAAGAGGAAGTCATCGAGGTAAATACAAGGACGGCTTGGCCATCTGGATGGGGCAAAAAAGCACACTGACCTGATCAGTGATCATGTGAGATGGCAAAACATGGACACTGTTCTAATCTGATGATGATGATGTCATTGATGTTTAATTTTCAGATTTCTACCTATCATTCATATTTCACAGATTTATAATTGCTAAACTTCTCAGATCCCTATCGGCCACCCTCATATCCCTTTTTTGCCATCCTAGAATCCCTGTCTGTAATCCTCGTATCCTTGTCTGTGATTCTCAGATTTCTGTATCATTCTCATTTCACTGATATATCATTCTATGATTCCTGCATATCATTTTTTGTTTCACTTATATATCATTCTATGATTCCTGCTTATCATTCTTGTTTCACTGATATATCGTTCTATGATCCCTGCGTATGAATCTTGTTTCACTGATATATCATTCTATGATTCCGGCGTATGATTCTTGTTTCACTGATATATCATTCTATAATTCCTGCGTATGATTCTTGTTTAACTAATATATCATTCTATGATTCCTGCATATGATTCTTGTTTCACTGATATATCATTCTATGATTCCTGCGTATGATTCTTGTTTCACTGATATATCATTCTATAATTCCTGCGTATGATTCTTGTTTCACTGATATATCATTCTATGATTCCTGTGTATGATTCTTGTTTCACTGATTTATCATTCTATAATTCCTCCGTATGATTCTTGTTTCACTGATATATCATTCTATGATTCTGCATATCATTCTTGTTTCACTGATATATCATTCTATGATTCTGCATATCATTCTTGTTTCACTGATATATCGTTCTATGATTCCTGCATCAATTCTTAACTCAACTCAGTGATTCTTACATATCATTTTTGTTTCTCTGATTTATCATTTTATGATTCCTGCTTATCATTTTTGTTTCACTGAAATATCACTCTATGATTCCTGCATCAATTCTCAACTCAACTCAATGATTCCTGATGATCCTTTTTGTTACTCTGATATATCATTATATGATTCTTGCATATCATTTTTGTTTCTCTGAAATATCATTATATGATTCTTGCTTGTCATTTTTGTTTCACTGAAATATCACTCTATGATTCCTGCATCAATTCTCAACTCAGCTCAACTCAGTAATTCCTGAATATCCTTTTCGTTACTCTGATATATCATTATATGATTCCTGCTTATCATTTTTGTTTCACTGAAATATCACTCCATGATTCCTGCATATCATTCTTGTTTCTCTGATATATCATTCTTGCTCTACTGTAGTATCATTCTTGTTCCCTTAATCTTTTATTCTCAGATTCCTACACGTCATTAAGACAGGATTTGATTTGCTAGTTGGTTCAGATGTAGAAGAGGAAGAAGAAGTAGAAGAAGAAAGAAGACACAGAGATATAGCCACAATCCCAATGTATAGTATTAATTTCAGTCTATAATGTCACTAGTGGAAGCTACAGCTTGAGCACCATATGTTTTCTTTAGATGTTGAGTGTGCTAGTTCATTTCTTTTTGCCAGTCTTGATTTAAAGGCCTTTTCTAAGCTTTTATTAAGTTCACTTTTGTTTTAAAACAAACTAATTTTTTTTACTGGTTTTACAATGTTCTTTGTTTGTGTCCTTGAATCTTGTTTGATTAATGAGAAGTTATGTGAAGGCTGCAGGTATTATATTAGAATGATGCAAATATGGACAGATACTAAATATATTGAAGATGTCTGGAAAGAGTTTAATATAAAAATAACTTGTTAGTTGCATCTTGTTCTTCTTCTTGTTCTTGTTTTTCTTTTTGTTCTCATTCTACTTCTGCTCATTCTTCTTCTTCTTCTTTCTCTTTATCTGCTGCTTCTTCTTCTTATTATTATTCTTCTTCTTCTTTCTCTTTATCTGCTGCTTCTTCTTCTTCTTATTCTTCTTCTTCTTTTTCTTCTTCTCTTCTTGTCCTCCTCCTCCTTCTTCTTTTCAGCCTCCTCCTCCTGTGGTTGGTGGATTGGTTTCTGTGACTAGTATTTTATGGGATGAAGTATCCAACCCCAACCCTACCCTTAGTCACCTCATGTGACATGCCTGGTAGGCTGCAATATTACACTTCTTTGCTTCCTCTGAGGGCCTCGATAACGGGCAATACTATTTATTTAACTAATTTTAAAATGTTAGTTTGCACACAAAAAAGTTTAATATACACTGTTTCCTTGAGTTATGATTTATGCGACTTAACCACCCGCAGTGACAACCAGAAAATATTGATAAATAAAATTAGTAATGAAACAATTTTTTTGGTAGGGTAGCCTAATTCCTGGAACCAGTGCCTAGAGTACATTATGTACAATAATAATGCGTACATAGATTGAATATTTATGTTTTATGTACGATGTTTAAAACTTATTTGAATGAAATAAGTGTTGAAAAATGTAAAGCAGACTTACGACCAGTTCGACTTATGATCTGTTAATTGGAACAGAACTTGGTCGTTAAGTCGAGGAGACCCTGTACAATGTCTAATAAATGTATTACAAATAATTTATCTTCTGTAGGGAAACAAACAAAAATGTGCTTCGCTTTCCTTTTTGTTTGTTTTGTTCTTGTTACTTGTGAAAGCTTTTTCTTCTGGCTTCATTGCTGTTTTTCTCTGAATGTTGGCTGCTGCAGTAGATAGTTGTTGTCAGTGTTTAGTTGACTAGGATGGAGGGATGTACACACGACAGCTCAGTATAAATGTTGATGTGGAACTTTTGTCTGTGATGGTTTGCCTCCTTTGTGAGATAAATGACAAAGAGGCATAGACTAGTTTGATATTGTGGGTATGGGTGGATGGTGGTGGTGGTGGACGGACAGGCAGACAGAGAGAGAAAGACATGGACAGACTGGCAGAGAGAGAGGGAGAAAAACGTAGACAAGTTTGAAATTGTGTGTAAGAGAGAGAGAGAGATAAGTAGACAGACATAGACAAGATTGATATTGCATGTGTGTGTAAGAGAGAGAGAGAGACAGACAGACAAAGAAAGTGAAGTAGACAAGATTTATATTGTGTGTTTGGATCAGGGGGGGGGGGGGGGGCAGAAAAGTTTGACTATACATCTGGGAGAAACATGTGATATTGAATGTGTGTGAGAGAAAGAGACACATAGACAAATTTTATATTATGTGTCAGAGAGATAGAGAGGCCCTCCCCCCCTATATTTCTCCTCCATGATGACTACCTGAAATTCTGACACCCCAGTGAGCCATACTCCGGATGTCAGTGCAACAGGAACAAGCCCTGAGTACCCAGCCCAACCTCCCGGGATGAATATAATTAGGTACCCTGTGCTAAACAGACCATGACCTTGATGAAGTCTGCTATGCTGAGTGAGCATGAGACACTAATGTACCTTCTTGACTTATGACCTCTGCGGCTTACAACCTTTTCCACTTTCAACCACAAAAGGTATAGAAAAAATAAAAACAGTAGAGAAAGAAAGATAACTACATTTGAAGAGTCAAAAAAGTTCCTGGAACAGATTTTTAGAAAATACATTTTATGTACTTTACATATTATGTACAATAATTGTACGTGTGTTTTATGCACAAGTTGTGTAACCCATTTAAATTAAAATAGTGTTGAAAAATATAAATTTGACTTACGACCAATTTGACATGACATGTTACTTGGAATGGAATTCAGTCATACGTTGAGGAAACCCTGTAGTCTAATGAACTGAATTTTACCATCTGAAAATATAAAACCTATTTTTGTTTCGTTTCAGTTTTGGTTTTTTATTTTCGGATGGTTCACCTCAGCCTCAGAGACCACAGCGGAAGATGAACACACCAGCCCAGTAGATGAAGACAGAATCAAAATGGCCACCGCACATTCCCAGCATTTTAATTCCAGATCTTTCCATACGGGTCCAAGGACGCATTTAGTTACTAGAAGATTCTTTAGTATAGGTGCTTTTGATTGTGTGGATACATCTGCAGATAATTCAAATCAGAATAGTTTCGACAATGTTGGTGATGATGATGATTATGATGATGAAAGTAGTAATTGGATATTACAACTTGGAAGTTGTCAGCCAGTAGCCATGTGGGAGCTTAGTGACTTATAGATTAACTCTTTCCCAAGGAATGCATTATACGTTCATAGGTTACTGCCTAGAAGCCCAGTGAACACATGATGCGCTGATTTTACGTCTCTTTTGACTACCCCTTGGGCCTGTGATGCTACACCCTCTGGGACTCAAAGAGTTAAGGTAGGGGGTGGGCAAAATGTGGGTAGATTTGGGAAAATAACTGAAATATTTTGGATGTAGATTTTGGAAAATAACCGAAATGTTTTGGATGTAGATTTGTTACAATATGTGTAATAATATGGATTGGAGAAAATTACTGAAATATTTTTGATGTAGTTTTGGGACAATAACTGAAATGTTATGCGTGTAGATTATTATGTATGTGAAGTAGCCGTGGCTAAATTTTAAATAATAATTTTAAAAACACTGTAGAAACTTGTTTTATTGGTTTTGTTATGAAGATAATGTTTGGAGGACATTTGTCATTATATTTTCAAGAATATTTCCTTTCAAAATTTTAATTGTGAAGAACAGACACTTTAAATTGTCTGGCCAAAAATGCTTTTGTTCGCCAAAATAGCCAGCTTTGCTGAAATGTTGATACTGGAGCCGTTGTACACATGTAAAACAACCCTCCAGCAAGTGATATTTATCTTGACACAACAAGCAGTAATATGTCGGGGGGAAACTATGAATTTTGTTGTTTACATTAAATATTAAAATATGCTGCTACTACTACTTTAAAAATAAAATTTGCTATTGAAAGCAACATAATTTTGATAACTATGCATTTTTTCCAGAGCAGGTGGCTTTGTGTTGATTTAGACAATGATAGGAGCATTTTACCATTCAGAAAGCAATGGCAAACAACTAATTTAAAATTACCTACATATCCACACAATCCAATAAATATTTGGCTTGCAAAGTCTTGAAAAAGAGTATGCATCTAATTTATTGGTGAAGCTGCACTTTATCGTCAGTAAGTTTACAGTGAAGACGTCACTAATCTGTTTCTATTTGCTTTTTGAGCCCAGTTCTCCAGAAGTTTTTCTTTAGTTCTTTAAATGCGAAGAAGAATAAACCAGGTTATTGAGAATAAATGGGAAACTAGGATTATAAAAGAGGTATTCAATGGATATACTTATGCAGTGTCCCAAACATCACAAGGTGCATGATATGCTATTGTTCAAGTGACTCACGAAAAGCATTATCTGGCATGACGAAGTCTGTTGAAATCTGATCAGTTATTTTAATCCGCAACCTGGTCTATGTCCCATGCGAAGCATCTAAGTAGTGCCTCTGTTAAAGTTCAACACTCATATTTTATTCAGTTGGCTACTGTTTTTGTAGGATATCTTTTGTGAAACCTACTACGACTGAAAGAGTTGAAATATCTAGTCTTAGACATATCTGAGTTCACTTTGATGTAGGCGCCATTTGTAGCTCTTGTGATGTCTTGGTGGTATTTTTCATTTCTCTACCCCTGGAAGGCCTCGTGGTGTTCACTTCATATAAAGTACCTTTCAGTGTGTCTGATATTTCTGCAGTCCATCTTCTGTGTGGTCAACCTCAGGGTCTGTTACCATTGTATCTATACAACATTGCTCTCTGTGTTGCCCTGTCTGATGCCAGTCTTGTTACATGACCAAACCATTTGATTTGTTGTCTACCTATAAAGTTCAGTATTGGTTCTGTGCCAACTCTCCTCCTGATATCATCCTTCCTAAGTCGATCTTTCCTAGTTACACCTCGCCGTTAATTGTACATCTGTATTATCCCAGACATCCTAAAACAAAGTCACATATCCGACATCCCAGTTTATTGCCAATTATTATATTTTAAAGGAACTGTCAGTTGTGTTAGATGTCTTTATGAAGTTTTTTAGAATTGTTTTACACATCCATACTGGATTTATTTTAGGAACCTTAACTGTGTTTTTATCAAACCTTTGGCACTCATTATTCTGAGAATAGTCTCCCTTACTTTAGTAAAGAAATTTATGGAACTAAGGCTGTGACTGCATTTTATCCCGTGTGGACACATTACCACAGCATTATTTTTGCTTTTAACTAACTTGTTGTTTTTTTTTTTAATGTTGTTTATTACAGTCACACTGTAGAGAAGTTAGATTTGTTGATAAGTTGTTCTCCCTTGAGAATGTAAATTGTTCTCCTTGGAAAGAGTAAATTAATCTCCCTGGAACATGTTTTATAAGAGTTTTTTTTTTTAATGCATTCATACTTAAGATGCCCTATTGTGTTGTGGTTTACAGTTAGGCTGCAATGTCTTTGTCTTTTAACCCAACACATCCGCTTGCAGCTAACACTTAATTTAAATGACATGCTTGGGGGGGGGGGGGGGGGGGTGTCAATTATTTTACCCCTCAAGATGCAGTCCATGAAACACACACTGAGAAGTTTGATGTTCGTTTACAAGCATCCTCTCTATGCCTGTGATCAATCAGAAGCTCGGTATGGAAGTGAGGCCAGACAGCTCTGCAGGACTTGATGATTCCCTGGGTTCTCTATGCCTGTGATCAATCAGAAGCTCGGTATGGAAGTGAGGCCAGACAGCTCTGCAGGACTTGATGATTCCCTGGGTTCTCTATGCCTGTGATCAATCAGAAGCTCGGTATGGAAGTGAGGCCAGACAGCTCTGCAGGACTTGATGATTCCCTGGGTTTTCTATGCCTGTGATCAATCAGAAGCTCGGTATGGAAGTGAGGCCAGACAGCTCTGCAGGACTTGATGATTCCCTGGGTTCTCTATGCCTGTGATCAATCAGAAGCTCGGTATGGAAGTGAGGCCAGACAGCTCTGCAGGACTTGATGATTCCCTGGGTGATCCCCAATATCAGAGCACCGTATGTTGGCTTTGCTTTTATCAAACCTTCTTTTCTTGGATTTTGGGGGGGATGCCCATGTTCTGCACCTGCCTTTCCTTGATGGCTGACCAGGAAGCACTCAGTTGCTCTAGATGGGTCTATCTGAGGGGGCACCACATCTAGGCCAGGTAGCAAAGATGATGACACTACAGAGGCTGTGCCGTTCCTGGGAAACTAACTGGGAAGGCTACTGTAGTGTAGGTCTCTTTCAGTCCTGCAGGACTGTAATGTTGTGCTGTTGGGCAGGCACCTGATAGTGCTGCTGCTGACTGTTTAGTCTATTAGACTCAGTTTTTTTTCAGGTTCTCCCCCCTTTCCCTACCTTTTATGTATATGGCAAGATCCCTATGCCCCCCTCCCCCACCTTTTAGGTATATTACAAGACCCCCGCCCCCCAACCTTCCCGCACATAAAATATTAATAGAAGGAGAACCAGGAACAAATTCCAAGCATTGTTGAAAAGATCTTGGAGAAAAACAGCGACATAAATCAAAAGTATCAGATAACAAAGGAAAATCACAAACAACTGGTAATTTAGTGTCCAGATATCAGTGTGATGATTGACACTGTTTTGTCTTGATGATATCTGCTAGTTTTGGTCTCATGTTGGACAAGGCACAAACGGAGATCACTCTCCACATCAAGCTGGCAGCACTGTTTTGTTTTCACGACTGTTAAAGCTGAACATCTGGATTATTGCCAGCACAAATGCACTCATCTTCAAAATTGCTTGACGGCCCACCCTTGAAACTTCCTTCGCCCCTTTTTTCCCCAGAGGAACATGCCACTCAGTTTAGAGACCACTGGTATAGTCTGCTGCGAGAGCCACAGTCTGTGTCACAACTTCATCCTCTGTAAGATAAGGCAGGCCCTGCAGCAAGATTTGTATACTTTTCTCCTCTGTTTGCTGGATCACACTGAGCTCAAGGAGCACACCCATTTCAGACATCTCATCTCCAGGAAAATCTGTCACCATGACATTATAATAACCTTACAATGTCGTCACTTAGCCCTGTGTGGCTATGTCAACCGACAACTTCCGCAGACACTTCGATGAGGTACAAGGTGGAAGAGAAGAAGAAGAAGAGAAGGCTATGTCAAAAAATCAAATTTTTGTTTAGCAAACGGAAGGAAAGCAGTTAATTCATTGTTCTATTTATATTTAGTCTTTTCCCTTCACATAACAAATCCCATTTCTGGAAATAGAGGATAATAGATCCGGGTTGGTAAGGCTGGGTTTTTTTTCTTTCTGTCGCTACAAAATAAAATACTCACCTGCACAGTCGTGGCAACAGCACTAGCCATGCGGCCTTAAAAACCTTAGGCTCAAGACCCCCTCCCTACACCACAGAAGTGCTAAATAAAGGCAGACATTGGCAATTTTTGTGGGGGGGGGGAGGGCAGAGGATAATAGATGCCGAAAAAATATTGATCATTATTGTTAGCATCTTAACGGCCACAATGATGTACTTGCTTTCAAAATTGCCTGTTTGCTTGATGTTCTAGATGTTCAACCCCCTGAATTTGTATAAAAACTGACCAATTTCTTCTACTTTTTTGTTCTCTTCCTCTAGTTTTTTGGGCTGAGTTTACAAGAATTATTTATAAAGATGCATATTTTATTAAACACAATTCAGTAAAAAGTAATTTTTTTTAAATTTATTCATGGCAAAAGGGTTAAGAGAAGGAAATTGGCTTTTAAAGTGTTATTTGCATTTTTATTTGCATTTATTTTTATATATTTTGTTTGCTATAAATGAATGTTTTGTTGCTATAAATGAATGTTTTGTTGCTATAAATGAATGTTTTGTTGCTATAAATGAATGTTTTGTTGCTATAAATGACTGTTTTGTTGCTATAAATGACTGTTTTGTTGCTTAAATGACA